CGACTAACCCTCTCCCCGGTCAGGTTATACATCCTGGAGCTCACTTCCAGCCATCTGGTAAGCAGCACATCTTACCCTCAAAGACATCTTACATTGCAGATATTGACTCTTGTGCTACGCTTTTGATGGTTACCTTAAAAGTGTCTAGGGACATAGTTTTTAATCAACTCCAACCCTCATCCCTCCCCATCCCCAAAACCCCCAACCTTTGGAAATATCACACAAGGGGAAATAATTAGGTTTTCTGAGGCATTCACTGAAATCTTTGTTTCTAGCATAATAAGGACCAATAAATGAACTTCAATCTACAAGAAAAATCAAGTTTTACAAAATAACATAGCCCCATATCAGCTCATCGGCAACACTAGAAATGAAAAAATGAGGGTGCTTACATGGCCCAAGACACAGAGGTAAGATGGTTCTTGGATCTAACTCTAAAATCTAGACCCTATGCCATCAAAATACAACTTATCTTTCTAGGCTAATGAAAAGTGTGCCTATTTTTAGCATGTCAGTAAGCAGATGAAAACAAAAGCCTGTATTGTGGCAGTCCTCAAGCATGAGCAACTTCTCCAATAAAGCAAAAGGTAGAGTAGCAGAGCACTGAAAACAGCTTCACAGTTAATTGCAAGTTAATTGATTTCAACTGGCTCATCAGAATCGGTCTGTTGTTTGGACTCAATCTCTGTTCCCTGCCCTGCCTAAATAGTGCTAGCCAAATACTGAGCTTTTGGAGCTTTCTATAGTAAAGTGTTTTTTTCCTCATTTGGTTTCACTGAGATGTGTATGTATATATTTACCAGAGGTAGATTTTTGCACTTTCTAAGGAGAAATTTCACACAGAGATTTTTTTTTTTTTTTAATATACACACTAGCTCATTTGAACAGTATCAGCAATGCAAGTTACAGCTGCCTTGAAGTTGTACCAAAGATTTAATCTTCCTAAGAGCATGGATTTCTCTACACAATCTCAAAAGTATAATCTCTGGAGGTACATTATTATAAGCCTATTTATTATTCAAAGCATATTAGCTGTTTCTTGTGTAGTATGCCTTGTTTATTAGGATTTTTAAAAACAAGACTTTCCTTTACAGAAACCCTGTAGCAATTTAAACAAGCACTCTGATTTAAAAAAAAAAAGCTTCCCAATTAATAGTCTTTTACTGATTCCTCCAATAGCTTAATTAAAATAAACAAGCAGCAGAATTTTAACATGATTATTTCTAATAAGATTTTTTTTTTTAATCAGCTCATTTTACTCCTAATATTTCTAGCAGAAAGTGGCTCATTTCTCATTAGGTTCCTTCACAGAATCCCTCACTTGTCCTCCTAGGGTAATTACAGACATCTGTACAAGTTTAGCACAAAGATTGTGAAGTCCTAAAGGGGATACATTAAGTTATTTACATAACTTAAATGTAAGCCTGCTTTACCTTTGGGAAAGTGTTAGTGCTTATTTGTGCAAAAAAATATTTTTGGAAACCAACCACAAATTAATTCAAGTAAACAGCAAATGCAGTTAATAGTCATTTTCTATTACAGGCCTTTGGCTTAGCTATTTTAACTGTTTCTATTTTGTATGTAAATTGAGTGTTATTTTCTAGTTGATTTAACACTTAATGTCTTTAGAGTAAATAATTTCTTACTAAATTCAGATTAAAAACACAAATCAAAAGTTTTATTGCTTTCTTTTGCTTCGGATCCCTTGGTTCACAGTTCTGCTCAGGCTGTTGTAAAAGCTGGACGCTACCATCAGTATGAACTGCTAGGTTGCAAAGACAAACTGTTTCACATTATGGGAGACGCTTTAGAGGTGTACTATGGACTAGAGGTGCAGCTCCCTTAAAGAGTTTTGTCTGTGTAACTCACTACTTAAAATTGCTGTGTCAGGAGGCAAATGGTCATTCATAAGTATTACTCTAGTCCTTTGGGAACGTAAACGCAGTGTGTATACCAAGTAAGTCTCTGATCCTGCACTAAACATAAAAATGAAAGTATTCATCCATCTAACTCCATTAAAGCCGCTGGTTCTACTGACGGATGTTTTGTTAAAGGAGCGTGTGAGGGCTGGGAGGACAGGGGTCTTTGTCGCTGTCTACATACAGTCCCTAAAAAGGCTGCACCTACTGTGTTATTTCTGGAGCATTGCTACTTTTTTCGTCGTTCCCCGTTTAGTGGTGTTTCTACCATTGTTGATGACCATTGCTACAGAAGTTAGCTAAGGAGAGAAATCACAAAGCAACTACAGCTGCTGAGATTAAGCATCCCAGGACACCGTTCGTCCACAAGAGATGCAAGTGTTTGCAAAAGAAAGGTTCGCTCCATCAAGCAAAAAATACCAAATCCTGGGCCAGTAAGGCCCTCTGCTGACTTTGGTAAGTCTGCTTCCATATATAAAATCAGGCATAGGTACAAGATGAGGACTTCTGCATAATCTTTTGCAAGAGGCTCCAAGAGAAACTGTACAGTTTCAGGGGAAATGTAAAGATTTGTCCTAGGTGAAAATTTGGTTAAAGGGCAAAGTAAGACTATATTCTTCATTTTAATGCTTACCAGTCATTTCCCTCTGTGGTCACAGGTCCCTAAGCAGCTCAGCCTGAGCCCTCCTCAGCTGTAGCTTGTTGAATTCATTAGGCTATTTGAGAGCTTCTCTCAAAATCCCCACCCTTCTGCACTCAAGGTAAGTTGTGGTAATGGTTCCTCAGGAACAAGTGACTGGGTCCCTGCTGTCCAAGAAGTCCCCTGCATAGAGCACCTGTGGCAACTTCCATAGGAGGCATCCATTTACCCCTTCAAAGGAAAAATCCCATAGAATGGCTGAGCAACAAAAGGAAAAGAGCAGCTAGGTAGAGATTTACAATGATGATCGTGTTTGCTCTTCCTTTTTTTTTTGTATGTTGCAACAAGAAGGTAGAAGGATCAAGAGAAGTCAAAAGGAGCCTTATGGCCAGCAGTACTGCTTTGCTCCTGACTGACACAGCTGAAACCACCATGAAATTTCGTGTACAAATGTTTCTGCCGCTTGCCTCAATGGGAAGGACACTGTTACTTGTTTCACTGTGGGAGTTAGCAGTGGCCAGCAGTTGTGGGGAACTTTACTAACCTGTGCACTTCCTCATTGTTTTTGTAGAGCAGGAAAATAGGACCAGGGCAAGCCATGGAGAACCTGCCATCAAGTATGCAGTGCCCAAATCACCACAAAACAGTGTCCAGAAGATCTGTTCAAAAGCTGAACAAATGCATTCAAGTTGATATGGACTTCGAAGAGGAGAACCCGAGTGCAGACCTGAGCCTTTCTCCAACAACTGGCTTTTCCAGGAAGCTGCAGCAATCTCCAGGGAACACATCACCTTCCCAGCAACGTGTTTCCTCATCTGCCCAAGGACAGTCTGATGTGCCGGCTCTGCTACCGCTGCTGCCAGCCCCTCCACCCCTACCCCCTGGGTGCAAGGTGCCTCCTCCACCCCTTCCCATGCCTGGCATAAATGCCCCATTGCTTCCACCTCCCCAGCCGTGCAGTAATTCCAAGTGCAGTCATCTTACGTATGGATGTGGGGGGCAGTTCCACCCTAAGAAGACACCAACATTGAGGATGAAGATGTTCCACTGGCAGAAGCTCCCCTCTGACGTGGTGAGACGTACGTGCTTGTTTATAACACCATGCTGATCAGTTTGTTTATTCTGCATCCAAACAAAAATGCCTATATTGGGGGGCTAGGCCTTGACTCAGTAAGTCAGGTCACACAGGGGATCCCATTGCTCGCTCTCAGCCCTACAAAAAAATGCATAATCATAAAAAAATACAGAAAGCTAGGTCTTCACCAATAAATGAAGGAAGTAGTAGTCTGGGAAAACTGAGGCTCTGTAGCTGTTAAAAGTATCTTCTCTTAACCTCTCAGTCTCTATTTGTCACTGTTAGAGTGATGTGAGTCTGTACTAATTAAGCTTTGAAAAATGCTCTGAGTGTACTGAGTGGAAATATCTGTTGAACAGTCCTGCTCTGTGGTTCTTCCCAACGAGCTCCTGGCACATTGCTGGTGAGTGTCTTCTCAGCTGAAGCTGGGAACATGTTCCCTCAGCTGGGCTGGGGAACATGTACCCTCAGGGTAGGATGCAGCCTCCAACTTCATTTCATACTGACCACAGCCATGTGGTTTGTATGGGGTTTCGCACACACCCCCCCTCCCAAAATAACACTAAGGTCTGTGGTTAACGTGGTCTGCCAAAGGGGTTTGCCAGTCCTGTTCAACCTTCAGCAAGCACACTGTGAATGTGTTTCCATTCATATTTCAGCTTTCAATACTCAGTTCACACAACACAGATCTCTTAGTTGTTCTCCATTGTTCTTATCACCAAGAAAGAGGGATGTGAGGGTGTAAGAAATTGCTGCTGAGATAAAATACGTAAACATGCATGTAAAAAACCAGTCTGAGCCACAGTCTGCTTTCTTGGGCAGAGATACAAATTCAGATTCAGCCCCGATGTCTTCAGTTTCACTGTTGCAATCTTGCTAAAGAAAAAGGAGGTAAGATTCTTTGTTAAAGATTCCAGTGTGGTGGACAAGTTCACGTTTTGAAGTGCCAGGTGTTAGTTGGATGGCTCCTCATGATTCTGGTAATAATGCTGGGCTTGGGCGTCCTTATCTCTTGCAATGAGAGACATTTACCTAGTTGAATGTAACATCCCCAGTTTGGGTGCCACAATTCTGCGATGTTTGATCAGCAACAGCAAAAAGAATTTGGAGTAGCCCATTAAGTTCACCTGCTGCCTTCAGTTCAGTGAATTGAATGTGGCGGTAGTTTTCCAGGTTTAACTAGCCTTCAGGGCTTTGTGGTTTTGTGTGTGGGAGCTGCCACTCTTAAACAATTCACATCTGTCCAGGACTAATGAGCATCATATTTCATTATTCCTCAAAAGTGTTTTCCCTTCCACAAATCATACTGCCTTGAAAGTGCTCCTCTACCTCCATGGTCCATTTTTTAAGAGTTATTGTCTTCCAGAAAGCCGGTCCATGTGGGCTGTGATGCCAAGCAGCAGCAAGGAGCTCATAGAGCCTGACTACGCAAGCTTGGAGCTACTTTTCTGTGTCCCATCAATAGCACCTAAGGAGAAAACTGGGCCAAAAATAAAGAAATCAAAAGAGGTACTTGGACTGCTTGCTTTTTGTAGAGCCTGGCAAAATTCTTGGAAGCGAAAAGCTTATTCACTCTTTATTGCTGTCAATCCTTTATAAGAAGGTAGAAAGTTTGGAAATTTTTTATATTGATTGCCTAAGACTGCCTTCAAAAAGCACAGGAGAGGTTTAAAATTAAACATGTTGAAGTAACCCTGCCAAGGGACAGGTCTTAGTGTGAGAGAGGGAGGATGTGGGAATCTCAGTACAAATTCTTATAAATTGGAATATTTCAGACAAATCAGTTCCCTTCTCAATACCTTTGCCTCTCTCTCCTTCTGTAAGAGCTAATGAGCTGTACTGTTGTACATTGCTCTAAGTTTGATCAATGAAGATTGTTGCTGATGTTATTACTAGAGAAGAATGAATCTGGCCCAACAAACAAAAGGTCTGAAATTTCTGTTAAAGTCAAGGCAAATGTGTTTCTAGCTGACTGCTTTTTTTCTTTTTCTTTTGATAGATCACATTTATACGTCCGAAGAAAAGTCTCCTTCTGAGTATATTTCTGAAGCAATTTAAGTGGTGAGATTTTGAGAGTACCATCTGAATTAGTTTGTTGTTGTTGTTGTTTTTAACTAATGAGGTGTGGCAGTCTCTTTCCAGGCAATTAATAGCACAGCTGAAACTGGTAAACCTAAACTGAAGGCCACTAATTCATAAAGAGACTGTATTCATCAATAACAGCAAAACCATGTGTAAACATATTTTTCTTTGGTGGTAATATCAATTGCTGACAGCACTCGTTGGTGAAGCTTCTTGATTGGAAGTTTCAAGTTACTTCATTTTAAAGCGGTATCTCCAGGAATTCAGATCCAAAATTGTATATAGTTTCTATTCATGGTAAATTTCCATTTGTTTAATTGTAGAAACTGTTTCCTATTTCTAGAGAAACTAAGTCACAGTCCTCACTCCGGGGAGAGCCAAGGAAAGGAATCTGTACTAGTTTTAAGAGCAAAGTATCTTTGCTCTTAGGTTCCCTGAAACTACTGCAGGACGAAGACAGACTTTCTGCAATGGCCTGTGTTACGAGGGCTTCAAAAAGAAGCTCAGCCTAGAAGTGCCTCTGTGTTAAAAATAAATCAGAATCAGGCAGAGGGATTTTTAAATTTAATTTTATTCTTTTTCCATTGCAAGCTGCTTCTCGGTGGGGAAGAGATGCACATAGCCTAATCCAGTTGTTATTTCCTCTCTCTGCATGGACTCTTTTCAAAGACATGTTGTCTGACAAATTTTCAGGCAAGGATTTTGGGTAAAATCTTCTGAGGTCTTTATGATAATTCTCAGCAGGAGGAGAGCAATTGGTTTAGCCTTGGCTTTGCTGCAAACAGTGGAGAAATTAAAAGTAAATCTCTTCTCAGTGACACTGGGCACCCACAGGAAAGGGAGAGTCTTCAGGGTTTGTTGTGTTAAGATGAACTAAGCCCAGAAAGCACATCTAAATTATAAGAAATATTGCTTTAGTCTTAAAAAAAACCTTGTTTTTTTTCATATCTCCACTGTACTTCTGAGGACTCAGATCCAAAATGTAATGGGAGGCAAGTACAGTAAGAATTGCTTCATTTACTCCTACAGTGCTAGCTGAGAGATTGGGGTCTCTTCTGTTTGTTGTGTTGCCCCTCCCAACGCCCCTTCTCCACAGCACCTCTCTCTTTCCTACAGCTCCAACGAAGAGATTGCTGCCATGATTCAGAAAGGGGATAGATCCAAGCTGGATGCTGAGATACTGAAGCAGTTACTTAAACTGCTGCCTGAAGACCATGAGGTATCTATTAAATGTGTTGTTCTGATGGAGTTCAGCGTGTTTTGTGCTCAGCTTGAAACACTTGCATTGCTAAAGCAAGAAGCTACGACCAGATCCCACATTTGCCCCAGCAGTGCTCTGGCCTCTCCATGCAAAGGTTAGGCAGCAGCACGCTGGGAGACTCAGCACACGTGTACGCCAGCTGCTGCTCTCTATTGCCATTACTTTCATTAGGTGGGTGGGTACGTTAGTATTTGTGGACTTAGGTGAATAAAGAGCTTTTCAGAGCAGGTTTCAATGAGAAGAAAGGACCCATCTTTTTAAAGGGGTTGCTAGACTTGGATGCAAGCCCTGCCTGTGGATCAGGGACTCGTCATAACAAGGTGCTGTACAAATGCAGATGACCTTCCCATCAAAACTTACATGTTTGCCCTTGCAAACTAGTTCATACACACAATATATCATTCATCTGCCTCAGTCCCATTGCGTGTCCACACAGCAATTTCAGAAAAGCCAGTGAAGTGATTGGGAACCAGAAATGTTTGTGCTGGTATTTTACTGTTTTATTTCCCATTAGATAAATGGCCTCAAATCTTACAAAGCAGACAAATCAGAACTAGCGAATACAGACCAGTTTTACCTCCAACTCTTGGAAGTTCCTAGGTAAGCAAAATTTTCCTTGTCTTCAACCCTTGAGTGTGATTCTTGTACGATTTGTCCGTAAGAACTCAGGCCTCTGTTTCCTGTGCTAGGGGGATGCTCCTGACATTCAGCCTTCAGGATAAACCATCTGACTGCTCTTTAGAGAGCTGGTTTTTTTCCTTCCCAAAGGTGAAACGAGCTTTTGGATACCTTTGGCAAGCCACAGTGAAATTAACCTTGGAATTAAAAAGTTAGTGAGGTAACTTTTGACTGTTGTAACAGCTGCCATCTGTATGGCATGAAGTTGCAGTCTGAATCCTGCCAGGAGGCTACTGAATCCTGCCACCAGGCTGCCTATTCACTGCCCCGCTGGCTTAGAGATTCCAGCCTACCAAAGAGAGCCCACAAAGCCGTGAGTGAATCACAGCAGTGCCGGCGCTTTCCCCACCTCCCTTATTTTTGCCAAGTCAGATGAGGTGTGGACAGAGAAATTTTTATGCTGTTCATAAAAGCATGCTCATATGTCATAATTTGTAGGAATAGCTCTCCATAAATCTGATCAGTTGCCATGCCACAGCTGGAGACACTTTTTTGAAAATGTCATGGTGAAAATGTGGCTTTTCATTTTCTCAAACTTATAACTAGCTTTAAAAGTACTTTGGAAAATGTTTTCATGGCTCTTCCACAACATTAATCCATGCTGAGGCATAAATATCATTAAAGGACATCACTGCAAAAGTATTTTGAATTTCTATTTGGGAAGTTAAAAGGAAGAACAAAAATCCTGGCTAGTGCTGCCCAGGAATTGTCAAAAATTACGGCCTCATTATGCTAGGAAGTCACTGCCAGATGTCAGTGCAACATTGCTTTCTGAAAGAAGAGATGATAATTGTTTCTAGGACATCTTTGGAAATATCTGTTTGATTTATTTATAGTCCAGTTCTCATGTCAGAGCATTAAAGAGAACATAACAATGCTGGTACTGCACTTTGCCTAAAATGGGCGATTCTCTTGCTGAACACAAGTCAATTAATCAGGCCCGTGGGTTTTGTTTTTGTGGTGTTTGTTGGGTTTTTTTTTTCCACTGATCTCTTTCAGCTACCAGTTGCGGATTGAATGCATGCTGATTTGTGAGGAAACAAAAATTCTGCTGGAGTGTCTGTGGCCAAAGGCACAAGCCGTCAGGACAGCCTGTGAAAGTAAGTACATCAATGCTGTGCCTATGCCCAGGCTCAGTCTAGGAAGCTTCTCTTCTACTTGAACAGCAGCAGTGGTAGCATATGCTATAATCTAATCAAAACCAATCTTTTAACTGCTGAATATGTAGCAAACATCAAAATGATTCTGCAGATTTCTGTTTCTAGAATTCACTCTGCAGAACTGCAATCTGTGCTGCCCTGCTCTGAAGCGGAGCTTCTGTTAGCATGGATAACACACACCTCTCTCCTATCAGTGGTTCTGCAGAGAAGAAGAAAATTTCCTTTCTGTCAATGCCAGATTCTGTTTCAATACAGGTTAAACTTTTATATGCAGCTGAGATTTTTGTCTATAACAATGGATTGGTGCAAGTTTTTCCTCTAGTGCACACTGGTTGCAGTCCAGCTTAGCTCTGCAATGGAGCAGGCCACAGTGATGTACCAAAATCTGGTTTGGCTTCCAAAACAGGTGTCCTGCGCGATGTTTACCAGTGTTTCAGGAACCCCTTCCACACAAAATTAGACTTGGTTTTAGTTTTAAGTCAGCTCTTCCTTGAAGTTGTTCTTGCATTCTAGTTTCAGTTCCATAGTTTGAGAGAGTCATTGACCTCCTGTTGAACAGTTAAACTGCAAAATTGTTGTTCGTGTCTGCATGCAAACTTGGCTAGACCTGGCTGTATGATGTCAGCGCTACAGTTGCTCTTTACTGCATTGCAATTAACAGCTTTCTGCTGTCTCACCATCATCCCCGTCCACCTTCCTTCCCGTTGGCTTTGGTCAGCATTTCTGTTCTAGTTCTGCCAAAAATTTTATTCTTGCCCTAGATTCTCCTGCTAAAATGCACAGCTTCTGGTTATCGCTCTCACTAACAGTGCTAATCAGGCAAAATGCTCTTTGCTTTTCTTAACCTAGAATAACGTGCTGGAAATGGGGACTACAGACTTTCACAAGTTTATACACTTTCACATATGTGGTTCTCCCTCATAAGTGGCTGCAGAGATGGCACATCTATACTCCAGACTTGATGGGAAAACTACTTGTACATCTACAGCTACTTGTAGAGAAGAGACCACAACAGAAAGTTACTCATTCCACTTCCGATCAACTGATTTATTTCTGTACTGGTGTATTTCCAAATCCACAATAATGGCTTGACGTAATCTTGGATGAGAATTTTGTTACCCCCACTGTCAAACCTAAGAAAAATCCTATTTTGGATCATTTAATTTAGTTTATTGAATATGTGTCTTTTTTTATTCTTCAGTACTTCTTACCAGTCACCGACTGCCAGTTTTCTGCCAATTGATTCTTAAAGTTGGAAACTTTCTGAACTATGTAAGTAAACCTATTTCTTCAATTGCTCTATTTCTAAAGGTAACCAAAAATACAAATGCAAGACTCAGAAACTGAAGGAAGGAACTTTTTACTGTATCTTCTAGGGGCATCACACTGGAGATGCTGGAGGATTCAAAATTAGTGCCTTGCTCAGACTAACAGAAACAAAAGCAAACCAAAGCCACGTTACTCTGCTTCACCATATTTTGGAGGTAAAACAAAACTGTGAAATTATTCCTGCATGCATTCTTCTCAGATGTTCATTCCCCAGAAACTGAGGGGCTTTGATCTCAGTAGCACCCCACCGTAGGTATCTGGAGGGTGAACCTCTGTGCCTGAAAAGCGACATAAACGTTTCCACTGATCTCTGTGCGGACAGGATCAAATCCCTGTGCAGTAATGTTTAGAGAGTTAACACTCAGTTTCCTTTCTCAAGTTCGCTTAACATGTCTCCTTGCTGTTTTCTTTCTCTTCTCCAACTGCTCGCTTGTGTTGACACGTCTCCCAAACGCATCTGTCAAATGAAATTAATTTTAATGGTATGAAGACAAAATCTCAGGTCAGCTTGCGCACTATGCCAGCACATGGGATGTGAGCCTGAGCAGTTAAAAGAACCTTTTGCTTTCCTTTTAACTCGCTATGGGTGCCAACGTGAGAAAAAGATTGAACAAGACTAAATACACCCCTACACTTGTATGAATGAAAACTGAAGTGTTAATTTTTCAGTCCTGATGTCATCCAGCTGTGAAAAACTTTCATACTGTCTGAGTGACTGTACAAGGTAACCATTTTTCACTTCAATTTTAGGAGGTTGAAAAAACCCACACGGATCTGCTGCAGCTTCCCAGAGATCTTGACTTTGTTTCCAAGGCAGCAGGGTAGGACATGATTGTTTGTTTTTGTCATGTGTGATTTGCCAACCTCTTAAAAGCCAACAAGAAGCTGAGTCATTTTATGGTGGTGTAATAAGGTCACAGGACTTCTCTGCTGTGGGAGAGAGAGGTTCCCTTCTGACACCAAACAGTGTTGAGATTTATAAATCAACCTGGTTAAGACTTTTTATGTGGAGCTCAATGAGATTTTTCTTTCGGATGCTCCAGTACCTCCTTAGAAGTAAAACTGTGTAAATAGTGAACTCCCTCATTCTCAAGGACCATATTCTTCTTCCACATACTGCAATAGAAACATACCTTCCCTGACATTTCTCATTCACATGGAAGCCTATCAGGAGGCACATGCACAGAGCTGGTGTAAGAAGGGAATGACTGGGTTGACTTACTGGCAATTAGGGGACCTCGGGAGTCCCGGAGTTGAGTATCAGCACAAGTTTTTAATATATGTGGGTAGAAAGAAAAAATCTATTTCTACAGAATTTCCTCCATGTGCCTGGATTCCCAATGAGTCTAATGCCTGCTCTTTCTGTTTAGCTCAGAACCACCACATGGAGATACGTTAGATTACACTAACCAGAATCCACATTTATAACACAAGGATTAACATTTTTTAATGCTGTTATGAATCCATAGGAACCTTGCAGTGTTTTGTATTTCCTGGTAACTAGAAGGAAGGTAACTTTTTAAATCTGGAGATGGATTGACATTTGTTAAGTAGATGCTAAATAATTTTTGAAAAGTATTTTTATTCATTAATGCAACAGAAAATACTATAGCTTTTGCAAGTTATCTGTGCAGAATTTAAGTTGGATATTGTTTTGACACATGAATTTCTTTTTGGGTTTTGTCATAATAGAAATACTTTTGTTACCAGAATCCAAATCTTGCTGGTCAATGATATAAATGTGCTCTTTTTCATAAAGTAATTGCACTCTAGTCAAACTCTAAAAGTTAAAAAACTGATTTGCTAACCAACCTGTGGAGAACTGTTTACAATGCAAATCCTGCAAGGGACTCTTCTAATGCTGCTTACATCTGGAGGCACTGTGAAACATCCTGCCAGGTTTTGCTGATTCGGTATTTTCTGTCTGGCACAAAGAGTAGGCCAGAACCATAGACAATGTTGGCTCAGCAGTGTAACATCTTTGGGTCTCCGCATGAGCTAAATAACTCTAAGAAGGGATACAATTTTGGACTGTAAATAGATTAGGGAGGAAAGGTAAGGAGGGAGAAGAACCAGCTAAGCAAGGACAGTATTGGCATGAGGAAGATGTGTGTTATTGCCTATGAATAAAAATAGGCTGGAAATTTTGGAGGAGTTTTCTGAATAACAGAACAGTGAGGTGCTTCCACACTCTGTCCAGGGAGGTTGTGAGGGCAAAAGCACAGATTCTTACTTAGATGAGGGTTTGAGCACATAGAAAAGGATTCATATAGAGGTGAACTTCCTGCAAAAGCAGGGTCCGAGTTGGATGATTAATTCTACATTTATTTGCAGAGATGATACAGTTTATAATAATCTTCTAACTTAATGAAAACAAAAGACTTACCCTTCAATGTACTGTCCCTTTTGTGGACCTTTCAGAATCCACTTTGACGTTATGCAGGCTGAGGCAGGTGCCAATTTGAAGAAACTGTTGGAAATAGAGAAGCGTTTATTTTTGTCGACAGACGATTTAAAAATACAGCATGCAAAATCTATTCAAGTAGGTAATGTGGGTGTGACACACTTCCCATCCTTCTTTCTAAACACTTCAAATCTCTTCTCAAAGGCACTGTGATTCAGGTTGCAAATGGACATAGAGCTTTATGGGAAAGGGGTCATAGCTACACTCCCCCTGCACCCTGGTGGAAGGAGCATCCCAGATTTGCCCCCACTTCTATAATACAATTTTGTGATAAGGAAAGGGCTAAGGACCAGTCAGCTTTGCGTGTGGGCAAAAGAAAGGAAGGCCTTAAAAATGCAATGTAGGATGCAACTATAAATGCATACAGTGCAGTACAGAAATGTGTCTTGTCTCACCATTCTTTGCTGGGGAAAAAAAGTGAAAAGATTTGCAACATGCTTTTTTTTTGGCACATATTTCCAAACATCCTAGCTTTTCATGTTCTCAGATCAGCATCACTTAACTAAGCTAAAAGGCAGAAATCCTGGTGTTCTGTCTCCCTTGATCAGTCATGCCAGGTTGTGCCAAATTTCCACGTGGTCGTACGGTGAAAGCGGAAACATATAATGGGCTGCTTCGGGCCAGATGAAACCAGGGGAAATGCAGATGGTTCAATTAAGAAGAAAATATCACACATTGTGAACCAATCTTAACTGTGATTTTTTTAAAAAACTGACTGCTCTTTGTTAACTGGCCTGAATCTTCTGGGCAGCTCAGAATATGCTACTTCTTAATATCCATAAATTGTGTTGCAAACTGTGTCTCAGGGCAGTCTCGATGCTTCAAAGGACCTGCAGAAGGAGTTTGCCACCATTGAAAGGAAGAAGGAAGAACTTGCTGATTATCTTTGTGAAGACCGAAAAAAATTGTCTTTGGAAGACGTATTTAGCACAATGAAAACCTTCAGAGAGCTCTTCCTCAAGGCCTTACAGGTGGTTTGCACTTATGACTGTTTAGAAATAGATTGAGAACTTTTTTTTAAAGCAAGCAAGAATTTCTTTTTTCTTCTACTCCAAGCTGAGTTACCTAAACCCCGGCTGCAGGAGTAAATGAAAGTAACTGTTCATTTGCTTGCAACCTGCAGCAAGAAATGAGCATGTGGGCAAATATAAAATGTGGTGGTTTTTTTTTTCTGTGGAGAACTGAGAACCTTCCAAGTTGTTTTTCTCACTGTAAAATTATTAATCAGACCTCAGTGCAATAAGAGCTTAGTGGAGTGTGAAAGAATGAGCAACCTGACATGCTTTATAGGCTTTGCCAACAGGCAGAAGGTAAATTTGCCAATGGGCAAAGCCTAATTGGAAGATATGTTTATATGTAGGTATTTCATTGCACTACTTAGTTCAAAACAGTATGTTTTGTGTCCCCTACAAAACTACGAATCTCCCAAGAGATTATATTTGGCACTTTATTAATTTGTAAGATTTCACTCCTTGCAATAAGAAGTAAGAGAACAGCAACTTGACCATAAATATGTGTAGAGAACCTTCCAATTAGGAAGTCTCCAGTAACCTCCATTTCGCATTCCCTGAACACCTGAACCTGAACTAATGTACTCACTTTAGAGTTTTCTTAATGCCAGGTGACAGTGGCTTCACATTTATATATTTTAACAGCAACAATCACCCACTCCTGTGCTGACTCCAACAGAGCCCAAGACTGGATTTGCCTTCTGTAGAGGGAATCATCCACATTACGAAGTATTGCAAGAATACAGGCAACTATGCTGGGCAATGACAAGGCAAGAGAGGCTGAAGGAGTGCTTAAGGGCAGATCATATTTTCAGATAAAAACAAAGGAGCTTTTAAGGAAGTGTTGGAAAACGAAAGATGAAAAATATATCCTGCAGTGTTCCCACTGCCTGCTTCTCCTGTGAGGCATTGGCCTTCAATTTTGCAGCTACCCAGGCTCCAAAACGATGTGACAGCACCACAGAGAGTCTGGAAAATAGACCCTACAAACCACAGATCCTTTGGCAACACACTTGGCCCTTAGAGATCCTAAAAATCTAGGGAGGAAGGAAAGAATTAAGAGAGTCAAGAACATCATGGCTCAGCATCTGTGGAGAGCTTCGCTGGAAAATTGCTGTGAAGGGTAAAACCAGCCACTGCAATTCTTTTAAGAAACAGTCCCAATAAAGGTCATGTAGTGTCCTAGCATAGTTGCAGAAGATTTAAACTACTTTTTTGGGTGCTGCTTGTTCACAGCTAGGCTGGAGCAACTAGAAAGAAGCTTCTTTTTACCTACCCAACAAGTAAACTCCTATTCATTCTATTTTTGGTTCAATTTCTCAGCACCTCACCTCCAAGGTACCACATCCACATTGTATGCATCTCTCTTACTTCCACTGAAGATGCGTAATGTAATTTCCTCTCCCTTCTTGCCTTGCTTTCTGCCTATCACTGTAGTAAAGATACTGTATGTGCTTGAAACAGTAACATGCTGAAAATTTGAAGGTTTTAATTTTTAAAAGTATTTAATTGTTCTGTGATTTTGATTTTTACACTAGAATCAGGCACATGTATCGTCTCTTTCTAGTGCTATTTGACAGAAGCTTTAAGACTAAGGCGTTACTTTTGAGATGTCTTCTGTGTAAAGCACTACCAAAATTGCTAGTGCTATCTTCCAATTCTCATATCAAATAAGAAGGAAAATAATTTTGATAAATAGTGACCCTTCACAGCTCCTAAGCTTACCTAGAGAGATTTTGGATTTGTCACTTCTTTGTTTGAACAAAGTCATTCTCCATTCCCTAACGGTTCTTTCTGGTCTCTTATCCTTCAGGTGACAAAAACTGAGCTACACAAATGAAATTGCTATAATAAGAATTTGCCCTCTTCCTCTCCACCTACTTGAAGAGGTAAAAAAAACCTTTTCAAATGGCCAAATGATTCCCAAAACTGACACAGTGAAATGGAGCTGGTTCATCACCCAGGGCTGACAACTGTTTCACCAGTTCTCAAAAAATAAAAAACAAAAGGAGCAGATGGCAGGAGGAAGGAGACAGGGAGAAAATAGCTTCCCAGCTCAGAAATTAAAAAAAAACCACCAAACAGGATTGGAGATGCACTGAGAACTGAGTTGTAAAGTTGTGGCGAAAAGAAATGCTGTGTGATTATAGGGGACTGGGAGAAACATTTGATTTCCCTTGGAACTTGCAGCTGTTCAAAAAGGGGAGCTCCCAACAAAGAGCCTGTTTAATCATTTCAGGAAAAGGAGAAAAACTTATAAACCAAATGTGTTCTGGGAATTACTCAGTTGATGCCAGAGGTTATAGAGACAGCTCTGCGCAGGGATCGTTCCTCTGAGTGCTCCCGTAGGATGACTGAGCTGGAACAGCTGCTCCTCAGTAGGGTGCATATGGTGTTGGAACAGGATGTGCTTTAGATAGTGTGGGGACAAACAGTTGTCATGGAGCATCTTTTAACTCAAAGACCAAGCGAGTATCTAACGTCCCACAAAGTGAAAATCCAAAGTGACACCCCTCTTTCATGGGATTATGAATATTGATTCCTCTGCCTTGCTGTCACTTTACCTTCTTGGGCCTTCTTGTGTTGCAGAAAGGGTGTTAACAGTGTGTTTGCATGGCATTGTTATATTTATTGTTTGTTTTTTTTAATTTCTCTGAGCAATTCAGTTCAGGTTTGCTCAATCCATAAATTTATTCCTAATGTGTTTCGGTTTGTTCTCAGTACTGTGTATGTGCTGCTCAAGTAGCAGGACAATGTATCTCTGAATTCACCGTGGTTTTTTCTTGTGGCATGTTACACACAGATATCTTCCCAGGGCTCACAGATCTGCAGG